AAAAAAAAAAAAAAAAAAAAACAGTCTTGATCTCTGGCACGTTACTATGGCAGCCTGATCTCGTACCCAGAACCACATGTGTGACATCGTTACATCTCAAACCTGAAAGATGGATGCTCACATGGGTGTCGACGACGACCACGAAGACATCGAGAAAAAGGTGAGTATTTTTCGCATTTTGAATGGCATTCTAGCTAAAACAAGAAATGTAATTTCAAAGAAAGGTTTCCTGGTCGTATCGTGGATTCTTAGGCGGTGGTGAATCGACAAAGCCGAGCCCAGGATGTACGGAAACACAATCTCAAGAGTATCCGTGAAGAGCTGAGCGCTCAATAAGAAATTACTTTGAGAACTGCAGGAGTCACGAAGGCCTGACGTTAATATGATTAAAGCCTGTCAAGTCGCCCTCGTTTTCCTTTAGAGATATATATTAAAGAAAGTCCTGGTTCGCACGAAGAATGCTGCAAAGTCATTCTCGAAAATACCATTCGATTCGCCACCGTCTAAGGATCCACGATACGACCAGAAAACCTTTCTTTGAAATTAGATTTCTTGTTTCAGCTAGAATACCATTCAGAATGTGAAAATACGCACCTTTTTCTCGATGTCTTCCTGCTCGACACGTTTACGCTCATCCACCTTTCAGGTTTGTGATGTCAAGATGTCACACATGATGTGGCTTAAGAGCAGTATCTGGGTACGAGATCCGGCTGCCATAGTAACGTGCTAGAGATCAAGGCTTATTTTTAACTTTTTTATTTATTTACTTACTATTTTACTCGTTTCGGTCGTTTCGCTTGTTTCGGTGGTTTCGTTTCGCTCGTTTCGCTCGTTTCGGTGGTTTCGTTTCGTTGTTCCGGGTTTTAGTACATGCCGTTTGTTTATAAATCATTCATTCATTCAGTCAGTCAGTCAGTCAGTCAGTCAGTCAGTCAGTCAGTCAGTCAGTCATTCATTTCATTCAAATATAACATTCACCGTAATTGTATATGTTTTGATTTCGTTTCATAGCAGAGATGTTTTCTGCGCTCTCAGCCGTCTCAGTTTTGTTCGGCCGGGCTTTCGGTTTTGCGCTCGTTTGGCTGTTCATTATTTGGCTGTTCATTCGGTTTTAGGGAGTTTAATTAAGCAAACTTTAACGGCAACGGCAACGGCAACGAGTACAAGGCTGTGTAAGCGTGCGTTATTATTCTTTGTTCATTTCTTTGCCGTTGTTTACAAGAAGTCACAAAACAACAACGTGAAATAGCCACATTCTGCATATTCGAGAGAACGTGAACTATACAGCGGCGAATTTTTAAAATTTCTTTTTCAAATTTTGACGCTGTCTCACATACTGCGTTTGGGATATATCTGACAGTATAGACAAACTGAATGGATCTAAATTCTCGCGAGATTCGTAGGTTGAATGTTAAGGTTACAGTATACCTTCGGGTCGGCAATTATCTTCAAATTTGGATTTTTGGGTCAAAGTAGTGGTCGAAGAATAATCTCTAATTCCTGAAAAAAATTTTTTGAAAAGGCTAAATATTGGCGGAGAATTGGCGGTTTTACGTTTTCACCGGAAGTAAAAGTTTACCTCTTGATTGACAGCCTCATGGCGCGTATGCAATCAACCGAGACGATTTTCGCGGGAATTACCTGTATGGATGTCACGAATTGACTACTCAGTTGATCAGCATTGTTGTTCCGACTACCCAGCATTTTTGGTATTAGGCGTGTCTCTATTAAGTTATAAGTAAACATAGGCCACGTTTAAAC